CGTCTCACCCTTGTCATCCCTTTTTCTAGGGCATGCGTAGCTTTTTCCCGAATCGTTTGTCTCTCTTCTATGGATTAGAACATAACATTATTGTGAACGACATAGGTCATTGTTTGTTCAAATATGCTCCAGTTTAGAAGAAGTTTTCCAAGCTCACCGAAACCGGCGGCTTGGTTCATTAATAGTTTTCATGCTATTCTCATGAACACGTCAATAAAAAAGGGTAGTGAAAGTAAATGCAAATCTAAAGAGACAGAAAAATACATGCTTCACTTGGTATAACCACATCAAAAGAGCTTTTGGCATCCACTACAGATAAAATGACTAAAATTTTCCTTTTTCATTACCATTACATGTTCTTTAATCGGAACTTCGTCACTATATACTCTATTACCTTCTACGCATTGACTGTTACTGAGATGTTTTTGTACCACTGGTGCTTTAAAAAGTTATCAATAAAAATTCACGGATCCGAGGTGCGGCGGTCGCACTCGCAAAATCGGCCCGGTCCCACACGGCCAAAAAAGCCAAAACGCGCGCGGCTTGGTCGTCTGAATGTGTAAACATGTGGATGTATTGGCCAAAACAAGGCTTGCTTCCTGAAATCGCGACATGATAATCTGATAATCAATAGACTTCGGCATACGACCATGTACGTCTCTGGTGATACAACACTTTGGAATTCGCACCGTTATCAGCTGCTTCCAATCGTGATAACGTCCGAGAACTCGCGAACATCGCCACCATTCAAGGGGAATGTCGAGGCAACCGTGGCAATTTGCTTATGTTCTCTGTTCACAATAAGAGTCCATGAAATAATGTCGAGTCGCTCAGCAAATTAAAGAGCTAAAGGATTCCCAGTTTGGATGTTAAGCACTCTTTTTTAGGATACGCCACGCATTCCACTTCTACTCAAAGCACTTGAATGCGACTTAGCCTATACAATGTTTATGGGGGCCAACTGATATAGGTCATTGTTTGTCCTGCCGGACTTCTGAATCAACCGATCCCGGAAAAGCCTGATGGCTTGGTTTTCCTGGACGGCGTATATTGCGGATTTGATCACCGCACCGTGCGTTTTGTAAGCAGTAAAGTTAGCCAACACACAACTTCGGCCTCATAGAATTAAAGACACAGGACGGGATCGAATTAGTGTATCATTTCGTTCAAAAATCAGATAAGAAGTTCAACGATAAACATTAATGAGAAGAAAAACAAAAAGCCCATAGAAAACATTGAAATTTCCTTTGTGGCAGCGGCCGTGGTATGACGGAGAGACACAGCGCTGCGAGGAGAGGGAAAACGCGAGAGAGCACGTCGTACGCGAGAGGGCGCAGACGCCACGTATGCGCGATTGATAAGGATGGCAGCACGGCAGCACACAAGGCAAGGCCTTAGCGCCGTTGCCTCGCCATTTTGGGTCGCAGAACTTGGAGAACCCTCTTTCATATTTTAGAAGGGATTACTTTTTGACACCTAATCCCAACCCATGGCTTTGAAAAATTGAGAAATTCGAAATAATATTTTTTCAGAGTTGAAACGCATATTGAACCAGGAAGCAGTGTCAGAGATGTGCTTAACTTCGCAAATCACAACACCGCACCCAATCATCAAAGGCGACCAAATTTTCTGGCCCCGTAAGTTTTTTTGCTTTTATCATTCAAATTCAATATGCTCGTAATTTGTATTGTCATGATGGAGGTCTTGAAGGATATTGAAATTTTTCTTCATTTTCTTCAACATATCCCCCCCCCGGGCGGAAGTGGTGTAATGGCAAGTGGCACGCTTACCACGCGAGCGGTCCGGGGATCAAATCCTTGGTC